TTTTTTTTGTTTTTTGACAGTTTTTTTCTTTCATGCAATAATTAATTTAATGAAAGGAAATGTTTTTTTAATTAAGTTCGAAAATTTATTTGTATTTTAGAAAAATTGATAGCAATAAAATGCGATGAGACAAAATTGCAACAATTTCATAACAATTCTTTTTTCCTCACTTAATGCATTTCATTGGTTGTCACAAATTGTCGCGCAAGAAGGTATCGTTCACTTTTTTTCTTCTTTTAATTCTTTTTTACTATTCTTAATTCTTTTTTTTTCTTACTTTTTTCTCTTAAACATTCAATAGATTTGTTTTTTTTTTTAAACTTTTCTTTATAAAATTCTTCCAGAAATTTCGAATACTTTAAAAAGAATATCATATCATGTGAGGATTAAAAAATTGTAAAATAATAATTTATAAAATTATAATTAATTCCGAAAAATTGAAGGAAAGGAAAGAGCTAACAAAGATAATTTTATAAAATTATAAATTAAAAGCAAGAAATTATTTTTGTAAAGAATGGCGAGTTCCGGATATACCGGAAAATGTTCACTGGAAAACGGATGATAACAGTATAACATTATGGTGGGATCCACCATCGACAGCTGATGAAATTTTGGTTCGTGGATATACGATATCATATGGAATTGGTACACCAAATCGACGTGTAATCATCGAAGGATCTAATACAAATGCTTTTACAATTAATAAACTTAGTTAGCAAATTAAAATTTATTAAATTTTCTTTTTTCCAATGCTTAATATAAATAATAATTTATTTAAAAAATTGAAAAAATGGCTGTTTAAACTTTTAATTATTAATTTTATTATTTTTATCAAAAAACTATTTGATAATAATTTTAATTATGGTAATGATTGAAAAAATGATATAAATGAGAAACAATAGATTGATTAATTTGTTATTTCTACAAAAATTAAAAAGATGAAAAAATTAAAATTCATTAAACAATCAGCAATGATTGTAATCTTTCAAAAAAAGATTTAATTACATTTGAATTTTAATAAGAATTTTCTTTCAATCTTCTAATCAATTGTACTATATTGTGCAAAAATTTCATTTCATTTCATTTCTGATAATTCAATTTCATTTCTGATTTTTTTGTTTTTTTTATTAGAATCCAATACAACATACGTCTTTGCATTGACTGCATATAATGAAGCGGATGGTGAAGATTCTGAAAAAGTACTTTTCACTGCTACCACCGATATTGGAAAAAATTCAGGTAAGAATTATAAATGTATGAAACAACAATTTCAAAAATAAATTACAAGAGGACATTTTAATTAAGTAATAGAAAATAAAATTTTTATTTTTCTCAATTTTTTTAAAAAATTAAATAAAATTTGAAAAAAAATTTACTGAATAGATTTACAAATCTATGCATAATTTTAATTTAAATGGTAAATATTCACACACATACAATTTGCATATAATAAATAGATATCATATACTTTCATGCGAATTTAATTAAATTAATAAGTAAATGCATTAATTTAACAAGCTAACAATAAGTATTTTATTATTACTAGAAGAATAAATGCTATCAATCATTTTTT